ATAGAAGAAAACACAGGTAGAAAAATCTCATACTTTGCTCATAGCAATATTTTTTTCTGGTATATCTCCTCAGGCAAGGGAAACAATAGGAAAAATAAACAAATGAGACTACATCAAAATAAAAGTGTTCACACAGCAAAGGAAAACATCAACAAAACAAAAAGACAACCCACAGAATGGGAGAATATATTTGCCAATACATTTGATAAAAGGTTATTAGCCAAAATTTATAAAGAACTTAAAAAATCAACACCAAAACCCCAAATTATCCAATTAAAACATGGGCAAAAGACCTGAATAGACACTTCTCTAAGGAGGACATACAGATGGCCATTATAGGCATATGAAAAGATGCTCAAGGTCACTAATTAGCAGCTAAATGTAAATTAAAACCACAATGAGATATCACCTTACACCTGTCAGAATGGCTATCACCTATAAATCAACAACAAATCCTGGTGAGGATATGGAGAAAAGGAAACCCTTTTGCACTGTTGGTGGGAAGGGTGAATGTTTCAACCACTGTGGAAAGCAGTATGAAGACACCTCAAAAAATTTAAAATGGATCTGCCTTTTGACCTAGTGAATCTATTCTGGGAATTTATCTGAATAAACCTAAAACATTAATTCGAAAGAAGATAAGCACCTCTATGTTCATTGCAGCATTATTTACAGTCACCATGATATGCAAGCAGCCCAAGTGTCCATCACTAGATGAGTAGATAAAACAGCTATGGGGCATTTGCACAATGGAATACTACTTTGCCATAAAAAAGAAGAAAATTTTACCTTTTGTGACAGAATGGATGGACCTGGAGAACATCGTGCTAAGTGAAATAAGCCAGTTGGAGAAAGACAAATACCATATGACTTCACTCATATATGGAATCTAATGAACAAACTGAACTAACAAGCAAAACAGAGACAGATTCAGATGTGGAGCAGGATGACAGCTAGTGGGAGTTGGAGGTTAGTGGGTGGAGGGATTGAACAGGAAGGAAAAAGTTCTCATGGACATGGACAACAGAGTGGCAGTTGCGGGAGGGAGGGTTGTATAAGGGAAATAAATGGTAATGGGAAAAATACAATAAAAAATAAAAATAAAATAACATTTTTGCAAATGTGCATGTGAGCCAGCAGAAATACTGAAATGTGTTTTTTTCAGCCCTGAGACTAAAGTGAATGACAAATTTGAACTCATGTCAAGTGGTTTTCTTGCTAAAGTATGATGCTTAGAATTAGTATTGACCTTTATCAAGGTCATCATTACCTTGAATTAAATGCTCCAAAAGCTTAAATTGACTCTGTATTCTCAGAGTATGTTCATTCAACAATTTTCAGGTCAAACTACTTAGTGTCTTATAACTGAGATCAAAACAATTGACAGAAATCCAATGATCTGTCAACTGCTTCAAAGAGATATGTGAAACATCCAAATGTGATTATTAGCTTGATAATTAAATCCATTACTTGGTCCTTAATTTACAAGATGGCAAATAAAGAGTAATAATGGTGCTTTGAATCAACTGCCTTTCTATATTATATAAGCCCTATATTATACTATTAAGAATTAAATATTTACTATATCATAAGTAACCTCTGATCAAATCTTTTTCAGTTATGACCTACCACAGTATAATTCTTAACATGATTTTCCATTTGTTTGAATTACCTAAAGTATACAGCATAATTTGAACATTGTGAAACCTGACTTAAGTTTTCTCACATTGGCATAATTTTTTTTAATTTTTATTTATTGATTTTAGAGGGGGGATGGGAGGTGGAGAGAGAGAAAGAGAGAAGTGTGTTGTTCCATTTTATTGATGCGTTCATTGCTAGATTCTTATATGCGCCCTGACTGAAGATTAAACCCACAACCTTGGTGTAACTCTAACCAACTGAGCTATCCAGCCAGGAACGTTTTCTATTTCTTTTAAATCCCATCCTTCCACTTCCAGCAATGTAGGGCTATTTGCCAAACTAGCATATTTTCATTATAGATACTAAGTTGTCTATCTATGTTACAGAGGAAGCTATTAAATTTCATTTTCCTGAATACATTTTGTGATACTTAAGAGGCCCATGTAAACTCACCTATGAATCTGAATCTAGCCAATAAAGAAGCGTAAAGCAGTAAAGAGACACTACTAACAAAAGTTATTTAAAAATGATCTGCAGTTGAGAGTAAGACTATGCAATGCATTATTTTCAGGGACTGTAAATACACTGGATAATTTTGATTGTGCCAGAAATAAGGGTTATTTGCACAGGTTGCATAATCCATTTACTAGTCTGATTTGTTGTTAGCGTGCTCTTTAATGTCATTGTGTTTATGCTGAAAGTGCTGCCACTGAAGGGTTTTGCTTGTGTTAATTGATAAAAATGAAATACTTCCAATTACCCTCTTTTTGAAATATCACATACATACTAAATTTATCTAACTTCATGTAATGCATTGGCTAAATACTAAATGTATTAAAACGTGGTTTGAGCATGTGATACTTTATTTGCTATATTGCTAAGATTAAGTGTAAGAAACAAACTTTATATGAAAATAAAGTATTATATGTCAAAAACAAGTGGCAAAAGAGAAAATAGATTTAGAAATCTCATCTAAATTACAATAAAACAGGAAAAATGTAACAGTTTTATGATGATTTTCTCTCCTCACCAAGTAGCTGAGAGAAAAAAAATCATAATGAAAGTGTTGTAAGAAATTGCCTAGGGTAAAATATGATAGTTGTAAATTTTATTACTTATAAAGAAAACTTTCATAAAATAAATACTTATTTCCAAAAAAGCAAAATCCTTCTAATGAAACAAAAAGAACACATATGAATTTACAATAATTCCTATTAAATTTCAAATTTATTGACTTAATAACATAAAATAGTTTTAGATGATATTTAATTCTAATATTAAACTGCTTTTAGGTTGTTACGATGTGTAATTTTTACATATTAGTTAGATTAAAGAGGTAAAAATAAATGACTGCATTAATGAAACAAGGTCTGGATATTTAAGTTAAAAAAATTCTCAATCTGCTATGCCTTCACTCCAGTGCAGGCTCTCTCTCTCCTCCCAACACCGCCTTCCCATAGTCCCTGCAGTAAAAATACGGTACATCTCGTGGAGGGCTTATGCAGATATGTCTGCCAGTGGATGACAGCAAATGCTGATTGAGAAAGGGTTTATCTTCATTTCATGCAAAATATGCGAACCATTAAGGAAATTATAAAAAGCAGCAACAATACACTCTAGTTTTATTCAGAACCTTTCCCTTAGCGAATATTAAAAGGATGATATTTTTAGCCAAAGAAAGCAAAATGCATCTGCAGCAGCTGGTTTCCAAGGAAACAGAATAATTTAAAACCATGTGGAACTCTGCTCTCTAATTTTCATCAATTCCCCTTCATTCCTGGAGGTAGCTCTACTCAGAATTTATAATTTCCACAAAAACATAACAGCCTTGACTTATTTTCTCTAATATATATCAGGCAGTGAATACCTGGTCTTATATATCATCTTAAATTTCAGTCTAAGGAGAGGATTAATTTCTACCATCATTTTGTTTTAAAAACCAAGATGAAAAGAATCTATAATGAGAAACATGGCAACATCTCAGTAGCACACTATGAATTGTGAAATCCAGAGACAGTTCAAAATGAGCCATGCAAGAGGACTTGCTTGGGTCAATATGACACTTAAGTATGTAAACATATTATTCTCTGTATGTAGTATCATTAGGAATGTTATGTTTTTGTCTGCTATTTAAAAACAAAACCCACCTCTCCAATTACAAAAAGCAAAATCAGGACTCCCCCAAAACTTTAAAATTATTTATATTCATGCCTACTAGTTTGTGATTCATTCAGAAGTACTGTATTTTAAAAAAAATGAACTAATCAGTTACATCATTGGCCGTTATTGTGTTATCATAATCAATCAGTATTAATTAATTGCCAATGTGCCCATGTCAGTAATAATCTTTCTTAGAAGAAGCTCAGTTTTAAAAAGGTTATCATACCAATATTGACCTATATTTATGTATTAAGATAAGAATAAAATAAAATGATTTGGAGTAAAATTATCCTTTAATGTCTTTACTGTGGGTCATTTAGTCTACATATTTAGAACTCTCCTATTTTCCCTATGCAAAAAAAAAAAAAGACAATGTTAGCAGATATAAGCCACTCAGCCACTGGTAAAGTAAATCTTAACTTTCGAGCTTCAAAATATATATTGCCTAGAAATACTCCCAACAATATAAACGCTGTGATGGAATCCTTATCTAGATATATTTCATTGATAAATGAAACTAGTGATGAAACTAGCCTATTAAGATGCAATTTTTATGGCAATGTTTAATCTTTCACAAATAGGCTTCTGAGCTTTTAAAGACTCATGCATGTTGATAAATACAGACATGTTTACTAAATAAAATGATACAGCTACTCAACAGCCTAAGATTTATCAAAGGAGAAAGTTAAAAGAGCATAAATACACATAAATCACTCATTCTAAGTTAGAGCTAAAAAGGTCTACAACCAGCAAAAATTTTCCCAAACCATTTACTGTTTTGCAAATATTAGTAGACACACGAGATTTTATACTGTATATTTAGAGAAAGCTCCATTTTCCCAGGACCTGTGGATTTTACTAAGCTCTCTCTTCACCCTTCCTTTGATTCCTAAGTACATAAGCTTATATAAAAACAAACCCAGAAAAGCACATGACGACTCAATTTATCTGTTAATTTTGCTTCAATAATCCTTGCTTAGGAAGTTATCCAGGATAAGACATGCCTCTGGTGTTTTTATCAGCTAAGGGTTTTGCAGGGAGAAAGAACATTTCCGCAAAGCTTCCTCAAGTAATGAAAAGGACATACTTTCGGGAAACGTCTTCAGAATGATTTTCAAATCATAAAACTCTCTCAGTAGGAATTAAGAAGCATTCTCTTTTGAATAAAAAGAAAATTTTCTCCTCTTGTTTGCTCTTACCTGTAAGTATGGTTTCTGTAGTTCGGCTCCGTCGGATCACACTGAAGATTTCACTCCTCCCTCTACATCCATCAGGCGGCAGCCAACCAATAACAAAAGCCGGATCCTGGCATTCTCTGGCTCATGCTCCTTGCTCTGCTTCCCTCCCTTAGTCCCTCCCATCCCCGCTCTTTTGGAGGACAAATCCTCGCAGCTAGGAGAGAAAGGGAGTGGAGAAAAGGAATATAGAGAAGAAAGGAATGAAGAGCTGAAAGGTATTTCAAAGAATAGCTCCAAACTATGAAAAATGTCTGTAGGTGAACTGAGCTGAAGTAAAATGCCTTGCTTTGTATTTAGGAAAAGAGGGACAATCAAACACCTCACCCACCTGTAATTAAAGCAAAACACTCATGGTCAAACCTAGGTAAATCGCCTATTTATTCAACTTCCGCTGATTTTTCTCAGTGAAAAAAATTTATCTCGTCATTTTACATTTTGATATGCAGATACACAAAGTTGAGACTGAACATCATGATAATATTATACACATACAATTTGCAAATATATAAAATGAATTGAAACCCTGTACATTGATGCATCATACTACTTGCATTTCAGCCTCTGTTTGTCACTCTTTCCATTTAAAACCAGTTTCAGAGCCTAATCAGTATGAAAAATATATTTGATCCTGAATATTAAACTGTTCCAATATTTCAGAATAATGTGGTTTGCATTACTTTAGATTTCTTAAATGTTGGTATTAGTTTGTCCATATAAATAATGGAGTTTTTTAAAGATTAAAAAGGAGTCAACACTTAGTTATCATGTCTCAAAGTGACTAAAGTCCAATTTTATTCTAATAACTTTGGGCAAAATAATTTCACTTCTGAACTAGAAGGCATAGTAGGTATAAAACAATAATCGAACAAAACATCAAGTTAGAATTCTTTAACACAACAAAGCAAGTTTGTCCACAGCTTAAAGGATGTTAGGTTGAGACCACCAAAGATTTCAAAGTAGATTTGTATCTATCTATATCACCTATACCTATGTCTAAATTTATATCTATATCATCTATCTCTATCTCATCTATATCTGTGTACAGATTTTATTCTTAACATTGAAAATATAATGCAAACCGTGGCTCTTTATGATAAAGGGTAATATTAACTGAGTTTCACTAATCAAGATGGTCTGAAAAAGTTTTTTGGGGGGGGAGATATAAATTAAACAATGCATATATTCTCTATTTTTAAGGATATGTACTACCTACCTGAGATATTTATAGGCTTTGCAATTCAGTTTCTTGAATCGGTAACATGGAAATAAGACCAAAGGGAGAAAAAAAGAGAGAGACATGGCAAGAATATATTTATTTCAAAGAATAACTGTCATGAGGGCAAACATTAGTGTCCAAAAATAAAGTATGAAAAAGGCTTAGGGCTATCAATCTTGTTAGGAGGGGAATAAGCTGGAAACTTGACCTGAAACTGACTTTAGATGAAAGAAGTACATTGATTTTACTGAGTGTGTGCAGTTACTTGGAGTAGCTTTGGGGGGCTCTGCTTGAGAAAAGGGGAAGGTCAAATCATCCCTTATTTCCACCCCAAGCCTTGAAAAATGCTTTCAAAGCCTCTAGGAACAGCTGGAAATACTCCTATGGCAGTATTTCTGAAAGTGGGGACAGGGGGTCATCTTCATTAGAATCACTGCTGAGGGTGGGAGGAGTATTAAAAGTGTAGATCTGTTGGCTTCACCCCAGATTTAAGGAATTAGCATTTGAGAAGTTTGTGACTCAGCATCCAGGGTGATTTTTATGCCGATAATGCTTGAGGTCAGTGACTCTGTAGACAAGTGTTCCTTGGTGAAAACCTCTAACCAGATTTCTCCTGGTTTGATTTTGGTCCTATTATCTCAGATAGAGGGAGAAAAAGAGGTGATAAGAGGGAGATCAATTTAGTTTGGACATTTTGAATTTTTTGAATATCCTGATTGACATATTACATTGTCAGTTAAATCATGGATAGGTCTGGGGTCTAGGTACCACATGGAAATTATCTATGGTATGGTTAAAGGAACGACAAGTGAATGAGTACCTTTAGGGCAGTTGTTCTCAAAATTATGTCCTATGAAATCTCCTTCTAAGAATTAAAAATGCAAACTAGGACTCCACCTCATACCTACCAAGTCAGAATCTGTGCAGTAGGGCTGAGAAAGCTCCATTTTTCATACATTCCCCAGCTAATTTTCTTTGTATACGGAGCTTTGGAACCGCCACTCTAGAAAAAGAAGTAAAGTGAGAATAAAACCCTGGGGATGACTTGCATTCATAAAGAACAAACAGAGGAAGTGGTATGAAGAAAAGATATTTAAGAGGAACAGTTAGCAAGGAGAGGAGCCAAAAGAGAGTGGTGCAGCAAATCAAAGGACTAGAAAATTTCGAGAAAATGCCCTGTAAAAGGCTATGGCAAGGCCTAGTGTGCCTTGCTATCAAAGTGCAGTTCATGGAAGTCAAACTCCCACTAGAACTCATTGAGATGTAGAATCTCAGGCCTTATGCCAGTAAACTGAACTGCAGTCTGCTTTTTAACCAGACCCACAGAAGAGTCCAATTTAAATTTTATTGTTATGTATTTATTTTTTCATTGGAATTTATTTGACATATAACATGGTGTACATTTAAGATGCATAATGTTAATTTAATATACTTATATATTATAATATGGTAGCCCTGGTAGTGCTAATTAGCATCTCTATATATTACATAACTGTCCTGTCTTTTCAGTGCTTGGGATATGCAAGTTCTAATCTCTTAACCAGTTTGATGATTATAATTCAGTATTGTTGTCTATATTCACTCTATTATGCAGTAGATCTCTAGGACTTATTTACTACTCATTGTAAGCTTGTGCCCTCAAACAATATCTGCCCAGCCCTCCAACCTCCATCCCCTGGTGACCACCACAGTATTCTCTGTTTTCACAGGATTGGCTTTTAAAATTCCACAAATAAGTTATATTCAGACAGTGTATGGACTTGAGCCCAGGAATGGAAAAATAGCAGGTGGCCAGGAAGCCAGGTTAAGACCAGGTGGCCTGAAGGTGTCAAAACCACTGCTCTTGCATGCACAGGTGCTCAAGGTGGGCACTGTTTGACCTTCCTGTGGTGGCAGACATGAGCAACACCAAAACTAGCACAAAATATGACATTTAAGTTAGAAGAGGATTGTAGAAAATGATGTATTGACAATAAAAAAATTCTCTTAGTAACAAGATGCTCTGGATTAAAAAAATTGATAACATGGTTTCCATAGGGACTCAAGCTGAAAACAGCTGCTGATAGGATTGTTCATTGATAACAATTAAATGATATTAATAAAGTTCCTGAGGGGCAGTAAAATATATGCAACTGTCCTGCTTCGATTCACATTCTCTGAGGAGCAACTAAAATAAATAAATTAGAATAAACTATAGAAAACTTTATAGGTCAGCATGAATAAACAATAAAGTAGTGGGTGATTTTCATTAGGGGTACATATGAAGTTATAATTTAAGAACAGATAATTTAAATCTTAAAGTTATGATGATGTTTGAACATCAGTTGTAACTCATGAAGGGATTGATATCACTTTGGTTCCTAAGCCCATTATTTCATGTTGCCGAAAATGCCCACAATCCTAACCTGTCTTCTGGAAGCATAGAGAGAAAATTTTTTTAAAGGTGTGTATTTATTTTATGTAGAAGTGCAGACTATCTTTTATTTTATGTAGAAGTGCAGACTTTCTTAAAATTTTTTTAAAGGTGTGTATTTATTTTATGTAGAAGTGCAGAAATTTCAAGTGATAATTGAAATTATCTCTTGAAATTTCTTAGTGATAATTGATTATCACAGATAAAGAAAGACATATAGTAGCTAGAAAATATCTGGAGAAATGCAAGTCAGGTGATCATTGGAATTAAGTGGTTTCAAATGAGTTTGATCTTGAAATTTGGATACCTGAAACTGGTAAGACAAAAATGGGAAAAGGACATCATCCAAGTCTTTAAAATACTAATTGTGAACAAAGTAAGGAGAAATTTCTTCACCAAATTGTAGGCAGCTTTAATACTTGAGAGGGAGATCATTTCATGGTCAATAAAAACATGTAATTGTTTCCACTTCCTCATCTCCCAAACATTCCACATTCTAATTATCCAATGTGGTTGGGAAATGCAATGGTTTACTGGGCTGGTTTCAAAATAATCCAAAGTTTATCTTTAAAATATGAAAAACTTGGAAGAATTACATTGTATTTAGTACTTAAATATGCAGAGCATACACACTGACTGGCAAAAAATAAGTGTTCAATAAATGTGAAAAGATATAAACCCAAAACAAGAGTGGGAGTGGAGTTGGGAGAGAAAAGAAAAAAATGAAAGGAATGAAGAGAGAACAAGTATGCACAGATCAAACCTGTACAGATAAATCATTTGTCTTAAATTTGACCACCCTTTAGAATCTTATGGAATAGGCATTTCAAGCTATGAGCAGTGCCAGCTTCTGGAATAAGGAAGTGAGATAAAGATACGAGAGCTAAACGAGAGGTTATCAGCCGCATGAACCAGAACCTGAAACCGCTGCTCTCTTTTGGTATTCACCTATCTAATGATTCTCTGTCCAGAATATTCTGAGATGAAAGTAGACAAAAGCAAAATAGTGCCAAGCCCCTTAATAGGAAACAATTTGGCAGGTGACAATGAGAGAGCTCCCAGCTAACACAGAAACATGCAAAGCATCTCTAAGATCCCTGCTGATTTTTTGGTTAGGTATCAGAGCCAAGAAGTTGAAAGGATGCTTGCATTTACGGCTGGTGAAGACCACAGAGAAAGCCTTTCCTAAAGTGTGAGTTGGCTTTCCACCAAACATTACATTACCCTTGAATGGAAAATTGATCGGATGACATATGGTGATAACATCTGCCACCCATGGATAAAGCTGGAGTGCCATGTGGGTGGTAATGGAAGCTGTAATAGCGAGGGTGGAGAATTTAATGACAGTATGTAACACTG